GTGTGTGTGTGTGTGTGTGTGTGTGCATATGCAATATTATAACATATATAGTTATAATCACTGAAGTCTCATCAATATCATCAATTCCCCTTCTTTGAGACCCTCGAGGACGGCCGGTTTTACAAGCACTGAAATCATTCTGCGTTTAGATATGGCTCACTTTAGGAGGGATAAGTCATCAGAGAAATCTCCAGCGCCCAGCGGATGAAGGCAGCGCGTGAAGCGCCACTGACAGACCATGAGGCACAGAGGCAGCATAAATAGTGCACAGATGCCCGCCATAATGTAGGCGATGGTCATTAATGTGGACTCGTCGGTCTGAGGGACGTTGTAGCCACAGTCCTCAAGGTCCACGCCATGGAACGGCCCCTCCACTGCAGCGGTGCGGAACTCATCGTGGACTACAGCGCAGAATTAACAAACAATAAGGTAGGTGACATCTCATTTATGAATCTCAATGATGATTTCTCATTACTGTGATGCAGTCTGTGTATTTTAATCTGCATGACATTAATGTTTTGTTGTTGTTAGGGTTTGGGTAATGTTTTTGCATTGTAGTAATGAGAATTAATGAGTGTCCCAGTTATCTTGCTAAGCCTCTGAACAAACAGCCTAACTCCAGAATGTAATATGACTCTGTATTTATTACTGGTGTTCTTGCAGATGAAACACAACATTAATTCCAATGATTATTAAACCACATTAAATACAGTGGCCCCAAAAAGTACAAGTCTCACTATAACTAATCATGACTTGCTCCTCTGAAAGAAACGTGGCCCTTTGTTCAAATTGAGCTGAAGTGCTGTTTGTGTGGATGAAACACCATGTGTCCAAAAGATTATCGGCGTTTAAGGCTTCTTTATATTTATATTTCCATCAGGATAACCTCAGGAATATACACAAATTATGATCATTCACAGATCCCGAGCTATAACACCCTCTCTACACCTGACGCGAGCGCCGCGACACAACACGTCAAAAGTACATATTAGGGCTGGACGATACGGCCTAAATTTATATCACGATATATTTCTTAATTTCGGTCGATAC